ACAAAATTGTCATTGGCCAACTCTAAAATCCATTTGAATCAAACACTTTTATATAACAAAGATAAAAATGGGTAAAACAATATGGTCTTAAGAACTCGTCTTCTCCATATTAAAAAAAAAAAAAAAAAACACACACACACAAATTAGGCTATAATGGTAAAACAATGTGGTCCCAAAGTCAACTCCAAAATTCATTTGAATAAAACACTTTTATATAACAATGATAAAAATTAGTAAAACAATGTGGTCCCAAGAACTCATCTTCTCCATATAAAAAACACACAAAAAAAAAGTAGCAATATGGAATGGATAAAACAATGTGGTCCCAAGGCCAACTCCAAAATAAGTTTAAAAACTATCTTTTTACTTCCTCTAACTTCAATATATTATTACAAATAAATAAAAAAATGGATGCAATTTGTGGTCCCAATGACAATTTCATCTTCTTAAATCCTAATCTATAATTTATTCTTAAACTTTTAAAATAAAATAATACAAACATAAAATGTATTACCTGAAAAATTGAAGAAAAAAGAGACTTGTTGGCTTGATAGGAGGAGAAAATTACACTTGTATGGATAAAGCCTTAAAGGAAAAGAATTGGCTTTATAGGTTATTGAAAAGGAAGAAGACATATGAGGGAAAGATAATGGTGGGTTTACTTTTAGCAGGAGAACGAAGGGTTTACTTTTAGTTTCACAGCCCCCAAAACACAAAAGTGTAATTTATTGGGTATAAATATATAATGTAGCTTTTTGGTATTTTAATTTTATATAGGGGTTAATTTGTAAAAATATAGCAAAAATTTTTAGAAGTCATGGAGGATCAGCTGACCCTCCTTGACCCCCCTGCACGCAAGGGAATAAAGCAGTTACAGAGCTGAAATGTAAGAAATAAAAAATTATTTGTATTTATTGATTTTATTCATAGAATTTTGTTAAATTACTTAACCAACCCCTTTACGTTAATTCATGGTTACGTCCCTAAGCTAAAGTAGTGGTTGATAGCCACCCTGGACCCTAACAAATTTTTTTAGAATTTATCAAGAAAAATATCAATTTGTTCTCTATAAATTTAGTCTTACTTCTGGCCACCCTTAGTTTTCGAACCTAATCCTTTAGTCCCCTTATATGTAACTTCCTAATCACTCCTATCCCCGTTATTTATTTAAAATTATTTTGCCCCGTAAAAATATTTTCTGGCTCCGCCCGTGATGGCTGAAGTATTACCATAACTAAAACTTGAGTTTGAGTAAAAAAAGTTCACACAAATCTATGGCGGCAATAAGACATTTACGCAGTTCAAAATGAAACCACTAAGTTTGAGAGAGAGAGAGAGAGAGAGAGAGAGAGAGAGAGAGTATCACCATTGCATGGATTATTGCAGCAAGCACATAGCCCACTTTTCCAAGCTTCAGCAGGCTGACCTGTTGGATTAGAATCTGGAGGCTGCGGTAACTCTGTCTCTGGTGACTTTGATTTATCATCTTCGTTTTCTGTCTGAACAGCAGATTCAAAAACTGCATTGAAATCTTCCATTAATGTCGACTCTTATTTCACCAAGTCTTTGCTTGTAGTACGAAAGTAGAGAGGTAGCTCAGTATTATATAAGAACAGCTAGCTAGTTGTGTTGATACATCAGAGTTTGGTATCTGTCAATTTTTTTGTTTATTATTTGAAGGATGCGTTTGGTTCAGGGAATATTGGATTACTGAAAATGTTACATTAATAAAAAGTTAGATTACCTTGAAGATTATCGAGAATCAGAAACGAAGGGAGGGGGGTCAAGGAGGATCAGTTGACCCTCTTTGACTTTTAAAAAATTTTGCTATGTTTTTAAAAATTAACCCCTACATAAAATTAAAATGCCAAAAAGTTGCATCATATATTTATACGCAATAAATTACACTTTTTTATTTTAGGGGCTGTGAAACTAAAAGTAAACCATTCGTTCTCTTGCTAAAAGTAAACCCATCATTCTCCTTCCCTCGGACGTCTTCTTCCTCTTCAATAACCTATAAAGCCAATTCTTTTCCTTTAAGGCTTTATCCACACAAGTATAATTTTCTCCTCCTATCAAGCCAACAAGTCCCTTTTTTCTTCAAATTTTCAAGTAATACATTTTATGTTTGTATTATTTTATTTTAAAAGTTTAAGATTAAATTATATATTAGGATTTAGGAAGATGAAATTGTCATTGGGACCACAAATTGCATCCATTTTTTATTTATTTGTAATGATATATTGAAGTTAGAGGAAGTAAGAAGATAGTTTTTAAATTTATTTTGGAGTTGGCTGACCACATTGTTTTACCCATTCCATATTGCCTTTTTTTTTTTTTTTTTNTTATATTATAAACATTAGTAATTTACACAATACTTAATTAAATTATTAGAATTTTAATTAATTATAACATTACATTATAAATTTATAGTATGATTACTTAATTAATTATAACATTCTATTATAAACATTAGTACAATACTTAATTAAATGATTAGAAATTTAATTAATTATAATATTACATTATAGTTAAATAGTATATTACTTAATTAATTATAACATTACAATTTACATTGTATTATGATAACTTAATTAATTATAACATTACATAATTAAATGGTTACTTAATTAATTATGACATTATATTATAAACATTAAACATTAGTAATTAATTAAATGATTAGAAATTTAATTGATTATAAAATTACATTATTGGTAAATAATTATTTAATTAATTATGACATTACATTATAATATTACCACTTAATTATGTATAACATTACACAGTTAAATGATTACTTAATCAATTATAAATTTATAACATTACATTATATTATTAATTTACTACATTAGTCATTAGTACATTAATTAATTAAATGGTTAAAAAATCTAATTAATTGTAACATTACATTATAAATTTATAGTATGATTACTTAATTAATTATAACATTACATTATAAACATTAGTATAATATTTAATTAAATAATTAGAAATTTAATTAATTATAACATTATATTATAAATGTATAGTATGATTACTTAATTAATTATAACATTACATTATAATTAAATAATTAGTTAATTAATTATAATATTACTATATTACATTATAAACATTAATAATTTGTAACATTAAATTTACTACATTAGTTTTTAGTAGTGGGAGAATCAAAGAAGTTGGTGACAGTTTCTTACTTTCTATATTGTTGTTTGTTTGAATGATTTTGGTAAAGTTATTTGATGTGAATTGTGATGAATTGATTGAATTCAAGTGTTGCCTAGAGATTAGAGGATTTATGAGTTACATTGGACATAAATGAATGAGTAATCAAAATTTGTTAGGGGTGTATTTGTAAACTTTTAAGGTATTTTTGTCATTTTTTAAACTAATAAAGGATAATTAATTTTTTATAGGGTACCCGGGAAAGGAACCGGAACCTTCATTTTAGGTTCCGGTTCCTTGAATTTAAGTACATGTGTGCGGTTTCGGTTCCGATTCTTTTTTTTGGAACCTGTACTGTGCGGTTCTGGTTTCGGTTCCTCCGAAAAATGCAGGGTACCCGGAACCGCTCACCTCTAAATTATTGGTTGTTGCTTTGTCCTCCCCACTTTGATGGGTTCATTACCTTGGAACACATCATGTCACCATGGCCAAGAAACAAAGCTTGATCACTTAAATTATACACCTTCACCCAGGGGCGGAGGGAGGGGGGGTCAAGGAGGGTCAACTTTTAAAAAAAATTTGCTATGTTTTTACAAATTTACCTCTATATAAAATTAAAATACCAAAAAGTTGCATTATATATTTATACCCAATAAATTACACTTTTTTGTTTTAGGGGCTATGAAATTAAAAGTAAATCCTTCGTTCTCCTTCTAAAAGTAAACCCATCATTCTCGGTCCTTCAGACGTCTTCTTCCTCTCCAATAACCTATAAAGCCAATTCTTTTCCTTTAAGGCTTTATTCACACAAGTGTAATTTTCTCCTGCTATCAAGCCAACAAGTCCCTCTTTTCTTCAATTTTTCTTGTATTATTTTATTTTAAAAGTTTAAGACTAAATTATAGATTGGGATTTAGGAAGATGAAATTATCATTGGGACCACAAATTGCATCCATTTTTTATTTATTTGTAATGATATATTGAAGTTAGAGGAAGTAAGAAGATAGTTTTTAAACTTATTTTGGAGTTGGTCTTGGGACCACATTGTTTTACTAATTTTTATCTTTGTTATATAAAAGTGTTTGATTCAAATGAAATTTGGAGTTTGCTTTGGGACCACATTGTTTTACCATTATAGCCGAATTTGTGTTTTTTTTATATAAAGAAGATGAGTTCTCGAGACCATATTGTTTTACCCATTTTTATCTTTGTTATATAAAAGTGTTTGATTCAAATGGATTTTGGAGTTGGCCAATGGCAACTTTGTGTTGTTTTTTTTTTTTTTATGGAGAAGATGGGTTCTTCATTCTTGGGACCACATTATTTTAGCCATTTTTATATTTGTTATAAAAAAAGTGTTTGATTCAAATGGGAGTTAATTTTAATTGTTTTACAAGTGTTATGAAAAAGTGGATTTAATTGTACAAGTGTTTGGTTATTTTAATAGATTTTTTACACATATCAATTGAATTTTAGCCAATGTATATAATGTAAGATATATTTAAAAAAATATATATATATTGCATTAAGATCTATTTCAATTCAATTTCTATTACTTAAATTTTTTTTAGAGTACTTACAAATTAGAAAAAGAAAGAGATATACTTGTGAGTTGTGATGTGTATGTATTGTTAGAATACTTTAACTTATTAGCTTTATAAATTTTTGTAGTTGTAATTTCACTTATCTTAGTAATTATTATTGTATACATAGATTATTGTTATTGTTTGGTTTTACTGAGTACATAGCTTATTTTGTTGCATTTTTCTCTATCAAGTAATAATATATTATTGTTTTGAAATAGTATGGAGAGATATTTCAAAAGAAAGTCAACAATGATCTTGTCATTTGAACAAGAGGAAAATATTTGGTGATTCAAGTAAAAATGTGGATGTTGATTTGCGAGATCTTCCTACGGATCTAGGCTTAAGAGCCCGAATTTTAGATTATGATCCTAATATTCAAGATCAAATTTGAAAAATATATTTGGAAAGGGGTCCTTGTCAACCTAAGGGCCATGAGTTTCCTTCTAGGTATTTTGGTGGATTTTCAAGACGTTTTGTTGTTTCTTGGTTTAGTGAATTTGAACAATAGTTGGAATATAGTATAGCCAAAGATGCTGCGTTTTGTCTTTATTCCTATCTTTTTAAGCCAGATGGTGATAAAAAGGGTGGTGATCGCTTTGTTGGTCAAGGGTTTTCGAATTGGAAAAAGAAATAAAAATTGAATATTCATGTTGCAGGTTCTAATAGTGCTCATAACCAAGCTAGAAGAATGTGTGAAACATTATTGAATCAAGACCAACATATTTAGACATTTTTTTATCGACATTCTTCTCAAGCACGAACAAAGTATCGAACTTGTTTAAATGCTACAATTGACTGTATTCGTTTTCTTCTAAGGCAAGGACTTGTATTTCGTGGTCATGATGAATCCTATGATTCAAGCAACCAAGAGAATTTTCTCGAGCTTCTACAATTTCTTGCTAATCATAATAAAGATTACAACGTTGTTGCTTTCAAGAATGCTCTTGATAATCTCAAATTGACATCACCTGAGATTCAAAAAGACATTGTAAGTGTTGCTTCAAATGAAACCGTAAGTGCTATCATTAAAGATTTAGGAGATTCATTATTCGCTATAATGATTGATGAATCCCGTGATATCTCTAGGAAGGAACAAATGGCTATTGTCTTACATTATGTTAACTAGAATGGACTTGTTATAGAGCATTTTCTAGGTGTTGAACACGTTACTAGTACCACAACTCTCTCACTCAAGGCAACACTAGATAATTTCTTTTCAAGGCATGGGTTGAGTTTTTCTAGACTACTAGGACAAGGTTATGATGGAGCTAGTAATATGCAAGGAGAATTTAATGGTTTGAAGACATTGGTTTTGAAAGATAATAGATGTGCTTATTATATTCATTGTTTTGCCCATCAACTCCAGTTGGATCTTGCGGCGTTGGCAAAGAACCATGATAATGTTAATGATCTTTTTAATATCGTGGCGATTGTGGTTAATATTGTCGGTGCTTCGTCTAAGCGTTGCGATCTTCTTAGAGATAAGCAAGCTTGTAAAGTTTTGAAGCTATTTCTAATGGTGAACTTTCAAGTGGAAAATGTCTCAATCAAGAGACTAATCTACAACGTGCCAGTGATACGCGTTGGGGCTTGCATTATGGTACGTTAATGAGCATAATCTTGATGTTTTCATCCATTGTCGATGTTCTTGAAATTGTAGCAAAAGATTGGTCAAACTCTGAGCAAAGATTTCATGCAAAAAAACATATTTAAATTGATGTAATCATTTGACTTTGTGTTTAGTCTATTTTTGATGAAAGATATACTTGGCTTTACAAATGAACTTTCTCAAGCACTACAAAGAAAAGATCAAGATATTATAAATGCTATGAATTTGGTTGAAGCATGTAAGCAAGCTTTACAATTGATTAGGGATAATGGATGGGAGACTTTATCAAGCAAAGTTTATTCTTTTTGTGTCAATCATGACATTGATGTTCCTAATATGGATGACAAGTTTTTTATTCAAGGGCAATCACAACGTAAGGCTCAAGGTATCACAAACGTGCATCATTACCGCATTGAATTATTTTATAATGTCCTAGATATGCAGCTTCAAGAGTTGAATAATCGTTTCAATGAGGTAAATACTGAATTGCTTATTTGTTTGGCATGTTTATGTCCAAATGAATCGTTTGTTGCTTTTGATAAACAGAAATTGATATGCCTTGTCGAACTTTATCCTGATGATTTTTCTGACTTAGAACTCATGGCACTTAATTCTCATCTTGATGTTTACATTTTAGATATGCACTCTAATGTCAAATTTATGGGATTGAAAGGGATTAGAGATCTGGCAAAAATGATTGTTGAAACTAAGAATGATAGAGTGTTTTCATTAGTTTATTTGTTGATGAAATTAGCATTGATTCTACCCGTTGCCATTGTTAGTGTAGAGAGAGTATTTTCAACAATGAATTTTGTGAAGAATCGTTTGCGAAATAGAATGAGCGATCAATGGTTGAATGATAGCTTAGTTGTGTATATAGAGAAAGATGTATTTGATAGTATTGATAATGAAATCATTATACAATACTTTCAAAAGATGAAATCCCGTCGAGAACAATTATAAATGTACTAGTTAATGAGAATTTTATAAATACAAAATTTATGTTTATGTTAATTTAAAATTGTATTGTTTTTTTAACTTTGACCCCCCTATACATTATTTCTGGCTACGCCCCTGCCTTCACCCATTCCATCCTTGACAAGTCTATTCTGCAAACTATATTCGAAACAAATACAAATAGATGATCATTTGAAACCACGAACCTAATCCAGTTATAACAACAACTTAAGAAACGAGGCGCTAATTTCAGTTTCAAAAACCTCAAATCACAAGATCTCAAGTTGAATATCCCAATCTGAGAAAGACTGTTTAACATATATCCTACCATCAAAAACAACTACAGTATATCCAATATATGCCAACCCTTGCCAAAATAACTGTACTCTTTCCACTTGTTATCTCTAGAAGTACAGAACTGCAAGCGTAAGCAATACTTATCAAGAATCATAATAAGAAAATCGTGTCCCTCTGACCGAAAGGAAACAAAGATGCTATGGAAGAAGCCAGGGTCATGATAATCCTTAACACAATGAGGAGCCCAGGGCATGCGAGGGAATAGGATTTGATGTCCTGTAAAAGGATTTATAACCCATAAATAATCCCTTGAAACATCTTTTGTCTTGAGAGAGAGCATAATTAAGTACCCACTTGATACACCAAGACTTAATTCGAAGTTGCAAATACATCGAGGCAGCTTAGTCTTGTATTTCATTCGAGTAGCTATGTCAAAGAAACGACAATACTTCTTAACTCGTGCTGATGCATAAACAATAAATGGTGAATGAGATTTCAAAAAACTCTGCTTAAATTCTGAATAAAACAATCTCCAGCTTCTGCAAACTCGACCAAGGTTTTCATAGTCTACTATATTCAGACTTTTAGAAATAATCTCAAGAAGTTCTTGTGGAAGATCAGCCCATGATGATGATCTCTTTATACTGGAGCCTTCTTGCCTGATTGGATCTTCTATTATTCTCTCTTTCCAGCAATGTGCCTGCAATTTTTGTGATAGTTGCAGAGTTATAACATAACCAGCTATTATTGATTTATATGCAATGAAATTGTAAGATAATAAACCTATTTTTTGCCAAGTATCCAAGTCCTACAGAAACTAATAAAACCCAGAGCTATAACCTCAACACCATTCATTATTCACAACTGTACCCAAAAGAATTTTTTCTTAAAGATTCAAACATCAAAAAGAAGAATGTTGAAATTTTGTAAAATTAATCCAAACTATTGATGCGTAAGCAATTACAGAAAACAAGTATCATGAGCATTGTTATCTAAAACCCTTAAGAACAGTTAAGTAAATAAACTAAATAGTCAAAATTCATGATATAAACCCTTAAGAACCATTCTTCACTTTGCAAATCATAAATTGCTCTAAATAATCATTAAGATGGTGATAATTTTGGATAATTTGTAATTAAGTAAAGAGTACACGGTTGAATACCCGAAAAGCTCGACGGTGATTGCATATTTTAGAGATTGAAGAAGACAAAGATCCTAAACAAGGGTTTATGGCTCTGTTTATGTATCAATTTATTTTACTTATATTAAAGGAAACAAATCCCTTTTGACTACGGAATCTAAGATCTAATGTTAATTCAATATTGACCCCCATAATGCTAGTGGGGAATTTCATCAAACACTTCATAGACAAATCTCAAAAGCCTTTTAATATTTTTTTTTTTTTTTATGGATAGTAAATTTACATGGGAAAAATCTCTAAAAACAATTTCTTTACAGATTTGAGTAAACAATTTCCTTAAACATAGCAATTTCAACTTATCAAATATTAACAAGTTTTCTTGGCAACAAGTATCAATCCTATCAATGGAAAAACAGCCGTGAAAAATAAAAAGCATACTAATCTCAGTGAGACGTTTAATTATTTATATTTTACTAAATTTGGAAGATCATGGATGGGGTGGGGAGGGGACCACTTCCAAAAATTAATACGGGATGGGTTTTCATGATGTAAGACTATCTCCAACTAGAGGTGTAGTCGAACCGAGTAGTAGCTCGTGAGCTACTCGGGATCGGCTCGTGATGAACTCAAGCTCGATTCGTCGAAAATCGAGTAGTTCACGAGTTCGAGCTCATCTTCAAGCTCGTGAAAAAATGTTGAGCTTTTCAGGCTCAATTTAAACTGCTCGCAAACTTTTGAGAAACTTGAAAAGTCATTCGAGTAGGAGAACTCATGAGATCGATCGATTTGTTTTAGCTCGCGTATTCAGATTTGACCTAAAATCTGAAACAAAGACATTCGGCCGTAAAATCCCTAAAACAGAGACATTTTCCCTTCAACCTTATTTCACTTCCGCCAAATCACACCGTAAGATCTGAGACGCCACTGTTGTTCAGCCTTCATTCAGCTACTACCGCCCAATGACCAGCCTTCATTTACCCTTCAACCTTATTTCACCTCCACGCCGTAAAATCCCTAAAACAGAGACATTTTCCCTTCAACCTTATTTCACCTCAGCCTTCGTTTACCCTGAACCAGCTCTGAATATTTCTCATTGATATTTTTATTTATTCACATTGTTTTTTTAGTAATCTGATGCAATCTTTTTTCTTTTTTTTTTTTTCTATTTGGTAGCCAAATGGAACATGAAATATCTTTGGCTGCTAGTCTTTCTTTTCCTTTGAATGTTGTTTTTGGATAAGGATTGTTAAATTTACGGCTTGTGTTTTGCTTAGATGTTTTTGGGATGAAGGATTGTTGAATTTAGAGCTTATGTTTTGCTTTGAATGTTGTTTTTGGGATGAAGGTTTCTTTGGGATCAAGTGGTTGGCTCATTTTCCTAGTTTGAATTCTGGGATTTTGGTGAAATTGATTAAATTGAAGTTGAATTTTTTTTTTTTTATTTGTTGATTTGCAGTGAAGTGTATGATAATTTGTCTGAGTTAAATAGAAGAGAGAGGTTTTGTTCCTGCATTTATTTAATCGAGCTCGGCCGGCTCGATTCATAAGTGTTTGAGGCGAGCTTAAGCACTATTTTGAAACGAGGTGAACTGAGCTCATGAGTTTGGGCTCGACGAGCTCGAGCTCAAGCGCACTCAACAGTACAAGCCGAGCTCAAGCCAATCATTACTCGACTCGGCCGGCTCGGCTCGTATGCAACCCTATCTCTAATCACAAACACTAAATTAGTGCAAGTTTCACACAAATTAGTGTGATTTTGTGTGTATTTCACTATTGCATCTCCAAATATTACACCAAAAAGATATTTCTTAGAATATTCTCTTTCTTTTATTTCTATTAATAATCAACAATTAATCTATTTCACTAATTATTTTTATATATTAATTAAAATCGGGAATCATATTTATTATAATAAAGACTTTGAAAATTATACTAATTTAATAAAATTAAACATTTATTTAATCAAATAAACATTACATTAATATAAAAATAATTACATTTAATATAAAATATTACATCTAATATAAAATGACCACCAAAAAAAAAAAGACAACAACAACACAAAAGTAAAATTTCATATTGATAGTAATTTAATTTGCCGAATTAGTATATTCTTCCCACAAATGATCAATTAATGCATTTCGAAGAGCATGGTGAGCCTTTGTATCCTTTATTTATCTTTGTCGAGCAAGAAAATTTTGAAATCAAACATTTTGAAATCGGATTTGAATTTCATAACTGATCCAAGCTTGCGTGAGTTTTTTCAAAATGAACAATCAAGAATTATGCAAAAAAGAGCTCAACAATAAGTCAATGATCTCAAAATAGCTCTAGTTATTTCCAATATTTTGATGATTTTAAAGGATCTGGAACTAATCTATCGGAATACTAAATTGTTATTTTAGTTTATGTTGTATTTTCTTTTAATTTTAGTGTTTTTAAATTAGTGTTAATTTTTATTTTGAGTTATTATAGTTTAATATTTATATTGAATAAAGTTTTGTTTTTAATTTTTCATCATTTTTTAATTATATAATTATTATGAATTTATTATTATAAATATTAATATAAATAATAATCAAATTAACATAAATACAAATAACGAAAATAAGAAAATAAAATATATTTTATAGTAGATAAATAATGCCACACCAAATTGGTGTGGATGAATAATGTTACACCAAATTTGGTGTGACACTGTTCACTTACACCAATTTGGTGTAGTTTTTGTTGTTGGGTTGGAACACATTTTCCATACCATTTTGGGTTGGAGATGCCCTAAGAAAAATATCGTTAAATTATCATTTACTTTTGTTTCCTTTTTTTATTTGATTTTCTTAAAATTTTCTTATTTATTTAAGGTTTTATATTAAGAATTTCAATCATTTTTCATTTTAATTTGGAGTTTAGTCTATTTAGAAAGGTTTAATTTAGGTAAACTTTATTTCCTTATTTAAGTAGTATTTGTTTTCCTTTTTTCATTGGGATTTCTTCTGTTACCATTAAGAATAGTTTAGCATAAATAAGTTTATTATGTTACAAACAAAGCGATGGTTTTTCAATAAAATTTCTTTATGGTTCTTTTGCAATTTGTTTTGTCGTGGATTCAAACTGTTACAGAAATCTTATATTACTGGATTACCATATTTGGTTGTCAAGTAATATAAAATTCCGGAAATCTTGCATTACCGATAGTTGTTACTATTGGTAATATTAGAGGTAATCTGATTACCTCCATTTTCTTAGGTATTGTAAGATTACTTTGGTAATCTTATTTTTGTTACAATTTTATCCCTTATTAATACAAAAATTTGGACAATAATGCCCATGTTTAAAAATAAATTTACATTAATATACCATTTCAATTTTACCTTTGTTTAATTAAGTTTTTGGACAATAACACACTTATATTTAAAACAAATTACAAACCACCACCACCACCCAGCCACCACCGCCGACAGTGGGCCAACCACCATGGACCACCACCGAAAAGTCACTAGAGTCCCTAAAAATGACCGAGATTCACTGGGAGACTCCGGGAGGCTTTGATATGGCCGTTTTCGGCCATATTGATGGCCAAAAATGGCCATATCAGAGCCTCATGGTCACGGTGAGCTACTCACAATGACTTTCGGAAACTTCCGATGGTGATTTGCGGTGGCGACAGAGGGTGGGGGTGATTTTGTCATAAATTAAATTTTTATATAAACTGAGGTGTTTTAGCTAAATCTGAAATATTGGGGGTTAAAAAATTATTCAAAAATTAATAATAAAAATAATATTATATTAATATTTAAAAAGAGGGTAATTTAGTAATTTAAATAACATACCCACCTATTTATTTCCCTTAACCAAACATATTAATATAACACACCCAGCAACTAACCAAACACATTTTTCTAAAGATTCACAGTAATCTTCAAGGTAATATAAAATTCCAGTAATCCAACATTCCCTGAACAAAATGCACACTTTATCTTATATCCCCCTATTCCCCACCCCCAACAAGAACTTATCCCACCAAAAAAAATTAGCATCCCTATTTTTTATGAGTAATACTACATTCACAAACACTTTTCACTAACTTTCTCTCACAAACACCACGTGTTGGCTTAAAATTGATCAGCTCGCATGGATCCCGTCTGTCCAGCAATGGGTTCCGTCTGACTAAGTTAATTGCGAGCTACCACATGGGGTTAGTGAGAGATGTTTGTGAGGCTAGTATTATTGATTTTTTATCTATCTATCAAAGATTAGGAAAAGCAGTTGCATTAGGTTCACCATGTTAGCAAAATAAAATTTTTAAAATTTAGACTCGATTAGACACCAGAAACAGAAAATGTAACTTTTAATGTTTGAAATTTGATCAAAATCTTATATAATGAAATTTATATATTAAAGTGCTGCATGCGATCCAAATGAACATTGCATTGAGACATTATAATAAACATTACATAATCAAAGCCCAAAAAAAAAAAAAAAAAAAAAAAAAAACCACCAAATTCGATAAACCTAAACTATTCATTCCTCACATTCTCAATGCTGAAACATTGGTCAGGGAAAAACCAGTTATTCATCCTGGGAGCAGCTTTTTGTTTCATGATAGGAAAACTTCCCAGAATCTCCCCATTCAAGCTGTATATATAACAAGTGTTGTCCATGAATGGCAGGTGATAAACGCAGTTGCTTTCGCCTCCCCAGTTCGTTGCATTGCTCAACCTTGAAGACATTCTGTCACCAAGAAAAATAGCTTGACGTTCATCTTCGATAAATCTATTGTGTACGCTTCAAGATAGAAAGCCGCCGGAGGGAAATCAACAATGAGAAGCTGGTTCTTTGAAGCCACGAACCTGACATAACCAATGCCGCTCAATTGAGGTGAGCCTTTCAGATTCAGAAGAATCACCTCACAAGTTTTGACGCTGAGAAGACCAATCCGATACTCACTTGTTATAGCATAAATCCTGCCTCCGAAAACAACAATGTTCAGAATAGACCAAGTTTCCCCTCTATAAGAGAATTGTTGCCATTGGTTAACCCGAGAAACAAAGAACACCAAGCAAGACCTTGGGAAGATCATTTGAGATATTTGAGGGTGACAGCGTTAGTTTCTTAAAATATTTATAATTAAAAAAGATAGGGTAAGTGAAAACGTTTCCTGCCTCTAGTTAAACAATGATAGGTCAAGTGTTTACTGGTTCTCAAACTCTGAAAGCATTTACAAGGGTGTTTTTTTTATCTTAAAAAGAGCATATCTTACATAAATAAAGAGTATTTTTATTAATTTCTAAATATTAAAAACAAAATTTGTATTCAAATTTAATGGACTCTTTACATTAAACTTAATAAATAGGAGAGAAAATTAATAATAAAATATATGAAAACTTGTAATTTATTAAATAAAATTAGGGTAGAGAGTAAAATTTAACTCTCTAAGAGCATCTTTAAATGGCTCTTTATATGACCCAAACTCTTTATTATAAAGAGTTTATCCATAAAAATAAGAGTCAGACTCTTTATCTTTAAAATATAAATTAGAGAGTGAGTTTGGCTCTCCACATTTAGAGAGTCAAATTTCACTCTCTATCCTAATGTTAATTAATAAACTACAAGTTCTTATGCATTTTATTTATTAATTCTCTCTCCCATTAAATCTTTTTCTTATAAATAAAGAGCATCTTCATTTAATTTAAAGAGTCTATTGGATTTGAATAAAAAATTTGTTCTTTATATTTAAAAATTAATGAAGATGCTCTTTATTTATATGAAAGATGCTCTTCAAAATAAAGAGTACCATTGGAGATGCTCTAAGAGCATCTTCAAATGTCTCTTTATATGACCTAAACTCTTTATTATCAAGAGTCTATCCATAAAAACAAGAGTCAAACATACACTTTATCTTTAAAATATAAATTAAAGAGTGAGTTTGACTCTCCACATCTAAAGAGTCAAATTTCACTCTCTATCCTAATTTTAATTAATAAACTGCAACTTTCTATGAATTTTATTTATTATTTCTCTCTCCCATTAAGTCTCTTTCTTGAAAATAAAAAACATATTTATTAAATTTAAAGAGTCTATTAGATTTGAATAAACATCTTCAAATGACTCTTTATATGACCCAAACTCTTTATTATAAAGAGTATATCTATAAAAAAACAATAGTCCAACAGGCTCTTTATCTTTAAAATATAAATTAGAGAGTGGGTTTAGCTCTCCACATTTAGAGAGTCAAATTTCACTCTCTATTCTAATTTTAATTAATAAACTACAAGTTTCTATGCATTTTATTTATTAATTTTCTCTCTCATTAAGTCTCTTTCTTAAAAATAAAGAGCATCTTCATTAAATTTAAAGAGTCTATTGGATTTGAATAAAAATTGTGTTCTTTATATTTAAAAATTAATGAAAATGCTTTTTATTTATATGAGAGATGCTCTTCAAAATAAATGTAGAGAGTCAAACTCACTCTTTAATTTATATTTAAAGAATAAATAGTATGTTAGAATCTTATTTTTATAGATAAACTTTTTATAATAAAGAGTTTGAGTCATATAAAGAGTCTTTTAGAGATACTCTAATAAGTCTTACTAATTTAAAAATATGTAAGTGCTAAATTATTTTTTAAATATTTTTAGTGTAATCTTCTGCAAGAGGCCTAAAGTCATTAACGTATTTTTGAAGGTTAAAGTGGGCGAACGCCCATTTCAATTTCTTTTGTTTAAGCTCAGACTATTGGACTCAGCTAAGGCCCGTACAATTCATAATGGGAGAACACTCTTTTTACTTAATTTCCTCCTTGGTGCTATAAAAGAGTAATTCTATTGGTACCCCATCATCAAACAAAACACACCCCCTTTTTTTAATATTTTTTATTATCATAAGTTTACCCTTAAATTAAATTAACAAATTTATATTTAATTAATTTTTCACTATCAATACCTTTTACACCCCATATGCATATAAAGACCCTAATTTTTCATATTCTTATAAATATTTGAGGTAAGGTTTTGGGGAGAATGACATTTTTCCACCTAAGGTTTGGCGAAACGGCACTTTCTCACCCTTCAAGTTTTAAAATGACATTTTCCCACCCTTCGTTAGATTATGTTATGTTTTCCGTTAATATTTTACTGAAAAGACAAAAACACCATTAAATATTTGACTTTATAAAATTTTAATTAACCAAAAAGTCAAATATTAAAAAGTCAACAAAGAAAAAATGGTTAGCCCCACCTAAAAGTAAAAACTTAGGACTAATACAATAGAATTTTTTAAAGTTAAAGAACTTTAATATTTATTTATAATGTCATCAATATCTCATCACTATTATTCAATAATCTATTAAATTTATAATGTTTTTCATTTTTACTAATTAATATAGAAAATCAATATTCTTAATTAATTAAATAAACAAAGGAAATAATGTATCTTTACACTTAAACTAATAAATAATCGAGTAAAAACTTTGACTTAACTAAATTTTAATTTATAATAAAATTAATTTGGGTTTTTATATTAAATTTATAATGTCTAACTCTACTGAAATTCTTAACATATGGGGTTACTATACGATTTGGCAAAATCACCTTTACCCGGGTTAGTGATAAAAAATTTATGTATTCTTTTGCCCTTTTTTTTATTTAGTAGAGATTTTTTGCTACTAATATTTATACATATGCTTATCAATAAAGTAATATTGATAATTATCTTAATTTTATTTATTAAAAAATAAAATTACTTAAAAAAGGTAAGATTGTAAAGTTGTATGGGATAACTTTATAGATTCGATTTATGAGATCGTTTTAATTTTTAGTTTTGAATTTTTTTTTTTCATTTTAATATTGATTTGTGAAGAATAATAGTAAGAAATAAATGACAAGAGTGAAGATTATTATGAGATGTCTTAAGATTTAAAAGAGAAACAATTAAGTAAAAACATTTTTAAAACTATTTAATTGGAGTATATTAAGAAGTGTGCTTATTTAGTTTAATAGTGAAGGGTTAATAGTTCTACTGGACATAAAAATCTTTTTTAGAAAAAAAAAGATATAATATTTTATTTAAATAAAAATTAAATCTTGCATTAGTAATCATGAGTTAATTACAGATCATTTGCGCTAATAAAAACAAAAGGTGATGATTAAGATATCTATGCAATTTAATTGGTCAATTTGTAATGAAACGATGATCAAGATATATATGTAATGTAATTGGTCCACTTATAATGAGTTGGGTGAGTTTAGGTTATGGTAATACAAAGAACATGGAGAATCCAACAAAGTAAACTTTAATGTTTAGTTGATTGTTTAAATTAAGGGGGAGGGTGTTGGATTCTCCAACGAGTTATAGATCATGTTCCGCTCACAAAAAGACGTACTTAGGTGCTTTTTCTTTAAGCACTTTTTTCTTGAATTAAGCCAATCAATACCCAACAATGTTGCATACCTACTTTTTCAATTATAAATTTTTTTTTCAAGTCGATCCGATCTAAGATCTATTGTGTGACTTCATTTTTTTGCCAATGAAAACAGTTCCTACCTTTCCACCTTTTATTATAGTAATACGGTTTATTTGATACGGTTTATTTAAGTAGTTTATAGAATAAACTTGTGTCAATGAATATTTAATTTAATTGAGAGAGTGAATGTCATCCGACAAAAAGGCGATTTCGACATCGTTACAATCTCACATCATCACCATTTGCTTACACTATCACCATTTACTTCTCTGATCATCATTCACTAAAACCTCTCAAACTTTATTTTTGCATATCCTGTCAATTACCGATAATCGAGTGATTAAGGTTTACATAATCACTCTCCAAGTTAAATTTTGATCAATCCCAATTACTAAAATCTAATCTTCTACCAGTAAAAGACTTATCGATCTCCCCTTTTCAAAAGCCCTAATAATTTAAACTCATTTTGTTCTCTAATAACTTCTATAATATAAATTAAAACAATAAAATAGTATTGAAAAAGTACCATTAAACCATTACTTAGAGAGAAAGAAATTCATTATCTTAGCAAAACTTATGTTAATGAATATTTAATTTAATAATGAGGGAGTGGGTGTCACGAGGCGAAAAGGAGAGTGTGGAAGGGAAATAGGGTGGAAAGTGGATAAAGACAGAATGTATAAGTGAAGAGTTGATAACATTCAAACACGTATACACTTTCTCGAACCCACCCCTGAGAAAAAGCAAAATCCACTTCAATGGGAACAACATCATTTGCTTTTCTCAATATGAAGCCCACGTGTCTGTCCAGAATCTTTCAACAAATAACTATTTACCACACCACCTTATTTCTCATTGGCTCTTCTAAAGTTCTAATCCTCCAATCACACCCCTCCTTCGCCCCTAAAAAATCCTTTCCATTAACCAATCACATCTCTTCACATGCTTCATACTCCCACCAAACATCCGGAACAGCTTAGCCTATAGCCTATACTCATTTATTCATCTATTTTTATATTAAATTCAGTTTGATTGTCGTGTATCTGTAGCTCCATGCTAGTTTGAATTGTTCAAAGTTATTATTATTCATTATAGCGAATGGGGATGCTAATTTTCTTATACATAAAAAAAATATTATTATTCATTATAGCGATAAGTTCAACACAGCTCATCAGATCTTTCAACTCAGAACTGTTTAATGTCTTTAGCAAACACACCACTGTTAAAGAGTTGCCCTAGATTGCTAGCCACGTGGTGCTCGTAAAAACTGCCACCCACCCACTCAACCATCCACCCACCACGTTGCTGATATGATTATCAGTAGTACTTCATATCCGGGAAAGAATATATAGAAAGCAGAGAAATCCCAGATCAAGAAAAAAAAATAAGAGAGCTACAGTTCTTCATATACAAGACGATCATGATTGATCGTACGGTGATGACCCACCCATGTGCCTCATCAAAGGAGATTGGGCGTGATACATGAAATAATGCATGGAAATTAAGGAAGAAGGATGAATATTTTTGTTGAGGGTTTGCATGGAGGCCGGCGCTACGGCCACTTGAAGGTTGCAGGGTTAGCTCCGGCTAATTAAACGTTTCTCCTCCGATTTGGGTTGTTAAAAAAGATATTAATTATAAATAAATTCTGCTAGAATAATGTCGGTATTAATTAATTAAATTGAACTGTAGATATGCCTGCTAGCCAGCTTTTACCCGTTAAGTAAAATAGCTTTTACCTAAAAAAAGAAAAATAATTCAAATAATAAATGATGAGAATTTGCATTATGCATCTTATCTCAAGGAATCAAGGATAGATTTATGATAAAATGCTTTAATTATGCTCTTCTTCCCACGCTTCTAAACCAACAACCATAGTTCTCTATGCCTCAAGAATATATTTGTAAATTTAATTATCAATTTTATTTTACGTGAATTGTGGAAATTTATAAAATGGGTTGTCATGAATGTGTGCGATGTATAATAAAAATTATCGAAATAAAAAAATAATGACATGTACAAATCATCCATCTCCATCTCTTCAAAACAAAAACAAGATGACGTACAAATCTTGCCATAGATCCACGTCTCCATCTGACCATCCACGCGTCCCCATCGTACCCCCATCTATGATTTGACATTTTTAAGCCCACTCTCGACCGGCAGCCGTAGCGGAAATAACAGAAGGATGACGAGGTTAAAGAAAGAGTTGTGCTGTTCACGATACAAGGAACGCGTGGGAGGGAAAAAGTGCCCCGACTGTTGAAACCAAACTTAGATGTTAAGTGCTAATACAAAAGAACCACGTGTGCACTTTCTCGAACCTGCCTAAAAATCTTTTTGTCCCTTTTCCGTTTGATTCCCTAGAAAAAAAGGACATGTGTCTTCTCCTTTCGGCAGTGCTCGACACATTGTAGGTTATGATTGGGCCAGTGGTGGGGCCGGTCCTCAACGATAAATTACGCAGGGTACACTACTTTTGGAGTAGGGCCCACGAGGAAAAAATTAGACCAATCAGATTTCACTACTGTTTTAAGTGTTGCCCTAGACACGTGTTGCTTTTACACCCTATTACCTGTTACTGCTGTTATGATTATCGCCTGAACGAACTATCTCGGGGGGAGAGAGAGAGAGAGAGACAGAGAGAGAGAAGTAAAAGAGAGAGTGAAAGAGTAAAGAACAAGAACAAGAAGTTGGTGCTGGTGGTGGTGGAGGAGGAGGAGGCGATCATGGAGGGAAAAGCTACGGAAAGGTGGTGCATGGTAAGATGCGCAGGTGTTGCGCAGAATAATAACGAGGTAATCAATCGGACAATGCTCAGATTCAGGCCGATAGCACCGAAACCAGCCTCGAACGACACGGTTTCAGGTAGCTTGGGGGTGGATAACAAGAACATGCTGCTAAGTAGCAAAAGATCTAAAAGAAAGTACGTTAGGGTTCGCAAGAATAATGGATATAAGAGAAAGAATCGAATCTCTCCTCGTGGAGAAGGAGAAGATGGAGTAAACAAGACAATTGTAACGCTGCAGTTTTTTCCTGAGAAAACTGATTCGGAGAATTCATATTCAAACTCCAAAACACAAGAGCCATGGTGCAATATTATTAATAATAGTAATAATTTCGATCCCGTGGTTGCTTCAAAGGGTGGTGGTGCAGTAGAAGTTTATCATGACGAGCTAAATCAGATAGAGAAAAAGGGGTTTGGATTTGAAGTGTCGGATCAGAGGACGGTGGTGGAGTCGTGGGTGACGGTGGAGAGCGTGACGGAGACATGCATGGATGGGAGAGGGTTACTAGGGAGTACGGACGTGGAGAGAATGAATAATCTAGAAAGCGACACGTGCCCTGTGTTTATATCAGACGATTTAAACAGAGTTCAGTGGGTTAACGGAGCGTACAAAAGGATGGTGATGGAAAATGGAAATAATAAAAATAATAATAATAATAATAATAATGGATATAAGGATGGAGAATCACCGGAAGTAATGGTGGGGTTGATAATGAAAGAAAAGTTTCCGGTGTGTGTTTGCTCTTCGTTTACGACAAGGGTGAGGATGCAGTACACGTGGCAGAGTGAAAGGTACTCAAAAACGGTTCCATGTGATGTGTTCAGAATGGACTGTGGAGGGTTTGCATGGAGGCTTGACGTTGATGCCGCCCTTAGTTTGGGTCGTTAATGAAGAAGCAGATGATCAAAATCAAGTTCAAGAACTGAAATAATCAGGTAACGTGAGTACTATATATATAATCCAGTATATATCTATATATATAAATAGATTATATATGATGAAGTAATTTGTGACCTAGAAAACTGAGACAAGTATTCTGAAATAATATGTGATATATTATTTTTCTAGAGAAGTGCTAGCATGGCAGGCTGGTATTTGCTGCCAAATGAAAGCAAAAACAAAAAACAGGGAAGCAGAAGTTAAGGAGAGGGGGATAAGAATTAGGGACAGGTGACGGTTGCTCTGTTACCCCAACTAATAAAAGTAAGAATTAAGAAACAAAAATAAACACGGAACACTAGCTTATTGTATATGCCTAGTGCCATAACTCTTAAGTTTAAGTCTTCTAGGTAAAGCTTACGTGAGAATCTTTTTTCAATTTATAGATGTTTGATATACAATACAAGAATGTAAATCAAAAAATAAAAAACATATGAAGTAGGAAAACTTGTAATGTTAAGTTGTAAACCCAGTTATAATATAATATAGTGCTAGTTGTCAATTTCGTCGGAAGTTCAGGGACATATATTATTTCGGTTCATTTAGGATAATACATCAAAATATAGTGAAATTTCTTTTTAAAAGATATACATACATGAAAATTCAAACAAAAAAATGTATATTAACAAAACAAATTAAAACAACCAACATAAACACCCAAAATTAGCTAATTTAAATACACATAAAACTAAATTTTTTAACTTTTATAGAGAGAATTCTATGAATGTAGACCTAAAATTATTTTCAAAAGAAGATAGTGTGAACCACCAATTGGGTGGTCGAGCAGTCAATTAAGACTCTTTGGTGTATTATTCAAAAAGTCTTAAGTTCGTTCCAGCTCGATACCTAAAAGGAGTAACCACTAAAGGTTTATCCGATTGTTAACCTCAGGGTCCTGAGAGATTAGTTGAGATGTGTACAAGTTAACCTAGAAACCTCTGGTCATTTAAAAAAAAAAAAAAAAAAGAGTGCAAAACTATACAACAATGTTCATTTTACATAATTGTTTGTGCTTTATAATATAAAAATTTATTAATATAGTTCATGTAATACATATACACACACACACATCGTATTAGCTAGATTCTATTTCAACTAATCAAATTTTTAACTTAAATTTAATAAATCTATTACAGTCCAACAGGGTAGAAGTGGCTAAATGGATATAAAAATAACTAATTTAACAACCGTCTTAAAACTATTGGATCGAAATGGATCAATAATAAAATTTGGATAACTCTTTAATAGAGCAAGCATATGTTACACCACTCATATGCTTGTCCAACCAAATTCAACCACGTTTATTTCCTTTTTTTCTCCACCTGTCGTTTTACAATTGAAAAAGTTGAAATTAAACATCTATATGGTAGAATATATCAGATATTCAGATTTATACAGATGATACTGTATATTTGTCTCATTCAAAAACTTTTTTTTTTTTTTTTTTTTTTTACTATCTAGTTGTGTGTTTGATATGGATTTAAAGTTACATTAAAACTTTATATTATAAAAAAAGTAAGTTAATATCAATTTGTAATAAAATAACTGTGATTAGCATAAATCAATCTTGAATTAATAAATAAATATAAAGAAAAAAATTATCTTAACAATGACAACAACAGTTAAAATTATCGTAGCTTTAATTGATGTGATGTTTACTACTGTTCCAATTGTCCAGGTAGGGTAGTGACGAGAAATGCTACATGTACAAAGAGTCTTTATACAAAGAGATGTGACAGGTTCCACACCACTAATTTGTGAAAAAAAAAAGAAGATTGATGTGAAATTAGTGATGTGGTAGTTACCACATCATTTTGTACAAAGAGTCTTTGTATATATAGCATTTCCCGGGTAACGACTAGCGAAGAAGTTGGACCACCTATACTAATTAATTCACGTTGTATTATTTGCTTATTATTTTTATTATAAGAATGGTATCGGGCTTTAATCAACAAGATTATTTATGAACTTTGAATAATATATGATTCTTACAAAGTTTGGGAAGAATTTAAGTTAGGAATTGATGTTAATTTAACTTAGGTATTATATTATATACAGTAAAACCTCTCTATAGTGATACTTTATATAAGAATAAACTTTACATAGTCATACAAATTTTTATTCACAATTTGGGATAGTTATAAATAAGAATAAACTCTACATTGTAATAAGTTATAATTTTATAATTCCCGTTTTAAGAAAAGTTGCCTCTGCATAGTAATAATTATGTATATATTGCAAAAATATATATATATTATTTGTTACATTAAATGTTTAAGATAAAATAAAATATTTATTTAAAATTGTTTGAGAGAATGATTTATGGTTTAGAGTTGTTACCATATCTTTTAACTTGCGGGTACATTACTCGCTAGTATGGATATGTTCTTGTTGAAGCCAAAATATTTATAGATTCTCAAGCATGTTTAGAGCTTCTTGGCATGAAACTTTTTATATTTCCGTATCATCCTCATGATTATTTCTTTTCTCTCCTTGTGTAATTATAGCAATGATTTCTTCCTCAGTTAAAGCATACATGACTTGTTGCTCATTTGAATGATTGAGGAAGACATTAATATCCATTCGATTAGTGTAGTGAAGTTGTCAAATCTGATCACTCAATTCTACAATGACTCTTTGATTCTTTTCATCCACTTTATTTATAACTTGCAATTCATCGACATAAGGGTCCTAATTTTGTAATGCTTAAAACAAGTAGCAATTGTCTGTGACTTCACATCAATTTAACCATGCAACAAATGTATTTACAATTCCATCAAAGACACTTATATTTGCTAGTTCCAAGACACGATCTTTTATTCGTTTAAAAAGTAGGCAATTGAAGTGCTGAATTGAAATTCTAATACTATTAAAACATGAATTGAAATCCTAATATTGTACTACTAAAACATGAATTATAAAATAAGAAATTTTTGTAACTATACCTCTATTAAATTATAACATTTTCATAGTAATAAAATTAATTAGTCTCACCATTATGACTATAGAGATGTTCTATTGTAAATCTTAAATAATTACAATAGAACATCTCTATAGTCATAATGTTGGGGTCAACTAAATTTATTACTATGAAGAGGTTATAATTTACTAGAGGTGTAGTTACAATAATTTTTTTTTTTTATTCAAAAAAATTTCTTATTTTATAATTCATATTTTAGTAATATTATAATTTAAATTCATGTTTTAGTAGTATTAGGATTTCAATTCATTGTTTTAGTAGCATTAAAACAGTACGAAAATGGATATCAAAGGGTTATTGCAGAATTGAGTGATCAGTTTTGACAACTTTACTACACTAATCAAATGGATATATATTAATGTAATCCTCAATCATCCAAATGAGTAACAAGTCATATATGTTTTAACTAAAGAAAAAAAAACATTACTAGAATTAAGCAAGAAGAGGAATGAGATAATCTTGAAAATGATAATACCAAAATACCAAAAGTTTTGTGTCAAGAAGCTCCAAACATACTTGAGAAGCTAGAAATATTTTAGCTTCAATAAGAAAGTGTTCATGTTAGCGACTTATTATGAGCCCATATGATAAAAGATGTGGTAACAACTCTATAGAATAAATCATTATCGAACAACTTTAGATAAATATTTTATTTCATCTTAAACTTTGAATGTAACATAACATATATTTTTGGTAATATACATATAATTATTACTATGTAAAGGCAAGTTCCTTAAGACGGGACTTAGAAAAATTATAATTTATTACAATGTAAAATTTATTCTTATTTATAACTGGCCCAAGTTAAGACCAGAATTTTTTATGACTATATAGAGGTTATTCTTATATATAGTATCACTATAAAGAGATTCTACTGTATATATAATCACTGTTTATATATAAATCCGACAATTAAATGTTAAATTTGAGATCAAGTGTCCGAATCTAATGCTTGCTTAATATATAATATGTGATTTAGTTATACCATAAATAAAATATCAATGGTAATCATGAACTAAATTCTTAAATAAGTTATTAAAAATATTTTGGAAAAAAAAAATTCATTAATAAAAGTCTCAAATAATTTTTTTTTTTCATATAAAAGTTGGGGGAAGATATATATATATTTTACACAGACTAAAAAAATAAAGCAATATATATTAAAAAATATTAAAACTAAAATATAAAGTATAGTTTCAAAAAAATATTCCTTAGTTTTCAATTTTTTCTACTAATATGTAATCAATTATTTTTTTCAAACTATTGTCGTTTAAAAAAAGCATATTTTTTATGAAACTATATTACACATAAAATTTCCTTAATACCCTTAATAAAATTAAAGTTAATGGTTTTAAACCATTAAGTGTCTTCTCATTGTCTTTTTTAATACAAATGTCTTATAAATGTAAGTTTATGATAAAAATGTCCTCTAACTGATAATAAGTTAATAACCCTAAATTCAACAAATTATAATACAATTTGAAAACAAAAATAGTTATTCAAATTTTAAGAAGGTATAATTAAGTTAGTAATTAAGAGCAAGTTTTAATAATACATATATACACATGATGAGTGAAAAATAAATAATCTGGTATAGGAAAAACATCACCAAGTTGATAAAAATTAGGTTCAATAATACATAATAAGAACTGAAATCACACAGGAGAGTGATACCATTGAGCCTTTCACATGAGCTATCAAAGAAGATTGTATAACCACTCAAGAATACTCACACACACCTCACAAATACATATAATAGAAACGAGATAACTAGAAATCTAAACCCCAAGAATACAATTTCACTTGATTTCTCTAACACTTTGTTATACTATGAAGAAGAAACCTCTCTCTGATCCCTTTGATCAATAACAACTTTGTATTTGTGCGCTCACAAACTCATCCTAAGAGCTTGCAATTTCATCACTTTACCTTTGGAACTGACATTTTTACGTGTGCTACATCTGGAAAC